CGGGCGGGTCCCCGCCCCCGGACCCCCCGCCTGTGTCGGTCGGGATTCCCAGGGTGGGTGAGGTGGGAGTGGTGGTGGTGGATTTTCATTCCTCGCTTGGCAGCACCTCTGCACACCGGCATCCGAAGCAGCCGGGTGGGATTTTGGGGAACGGCAGGGCCCCGCGCCGCGCACCACTCGCGTGAGAGGTGCCGTGGTGGGGGGCAGTGGCAGGACCCCCGTGTGCTGGTGCTGCTGGTCGTGCCTGAGGCTGGGCGCGGATTTCCCACTGGTGTCATTGAACGCGTTTGCCGCGAGGAAGGATTTGTCAGTACTTCCCAGCCAAGGCTGTTTTCGGGAACGTGCAGCTGTGGGTAGGGCATCGTGGTCCAAGATGGGTTTGGGTTTTCTTTGGTACCCATCTTTCCTCACCTCGCATGCTTGGTTGGGGTTGGGTTTCTGGGGGCTCCAGCATCTCTGTCGGGGTGCTGCGGGGATGCTGTGTGGTACCATGGGGCTCTTCTCAACAGGCTGCTCCTCCCTCCCAGGGCTGGAGGCATCATCCCAGATGATGTCTTCCAGCCCTCTGTCCCTGAAGGTCCCCACTACCCGGGCTGGGCTATTCCAGCAGGTGACTCGATGGCCCTTTTTGGCTGCAAGCTCCAGGAGGATGAGCTTAACGTTACCCTGGGTAATTTAGGGCTGCTTCTGGGCTACTCTGACATGCCTCTGGAGGGGACTGGAGACCTCACCTCTCCTCCGGTGAAGATGCAGAAGGTGGCCCTAACCCTCTCTGGGCTGCTCCAGCGATGACAGTGGCTCGGTGTGAGTAACATCACCCAAAAAGCAGAGCCCTTCCTGCAGTTCATGCTCTTTCCTGGAAGTATGTCCAGCTCCCTTCGGCTGCAAAAATATCCTGGAAAGGAAAAACATTGCCAAACTCAGTGCCTTTTTCAGGATGTAAAACTTTAGGGTTAAAAAAAAAAATAATAAAGGAACCTTAACAAATACTGATCCGTTTCTGCATCCCATAGACAGCAGCAGGAGTGGGGCTGGGTGCTCAGCACCCCACACACCCCGAGGCACTGAGGCTGTGTCCGGGACCTCCTACGAGCATTTGGTGGAAAAAGATGCAGATTGACCCCCCGAGCAGAAGATGATGGGATGGTAGGGAGTCAGGACACCCATCCCTTGGAGAAAAGCTCTTGCTTGTATAAATTGTCGGGCAATGACACCCCCCACCCTTTCCTGACCCGTTCCCTCTTCCTGTGCTGTGACATTCGTGTTCAAAACAGAGAGATTGAAAAAAAAATAACCGCTTTGAGACAGGAAAGCAGCAGCCTGTGCACAGCCAGCCCCCCAAAACGAGTAGAAAATCAAAGTGTCGCAACCAAATTTCGAGCTTTGGGAAGTTGTTTCGTTGTGCAAGGGTCGTCAGAGGGCAAGGGGGACAGTAGGTGTCTCCGGTTCGTATGGCTTTAGAGTTCATCTTTGAACTTCATCTTTGTATGAGAAGCCCTTGGTGCTGCGGATAACGTATTATGTAAAGTTTTCATCCAGCACCTAATTAATTGCGTGGGAATCTGCTGGCATGGCTGAAGGTGCTGTATAGGTGCTATGAAGGGAGTTAAATTAATGAGACACAGCGTCCTCTTATAGCGATGGCGGTTTCTGACCAGGACAGTGTTCCCAACACAACAAAATCCCTGAGTTGGAGCGGGCTCCAGGTCCTAATCACGAAACTCGTGTTTCTTCCCCAAGGCTCCCGTGCCAGGATCGTTTTCGGAGCGCCTTTTGCAGGGCTGGGGCCAAAAATAACTAACGATTTTTCCGTGCAAACCACCTTTCTTTTCTCCTCTCACGTTGTCTGCGACAGGGACCGGTTCCCGGTGCTCCTGGGGTGGTTTTTGGCACTGACTCCGTTACCGCCCATGTTTGGAGGCGGGAAACGTGACAGTGCTGGGGATGGGCATCAGAGAGGGACAGGTCCTGGTGGAAAGCCGTAGTTTCAGTGGTTCTGCAAGGGTTTGGAGAGCGGGATGGGGACTGCCGCTCCGGGGGTGGGTGGGTGTGGAGGTGCTGCTGGGGATGCAGGAGGAGCAGCGATGCCCCGTGGATGG